TAGCCTGTAACTATCTAAACAATCCCTGAGCCCCCGAGTGGTAGGACTATCCAGCCTCCAAGAAGTGTATCCTTTCTGATATGTACCTAGAGTAAAGGTCAACAAAGACTTCCCAGAGGGCAACACCAAGAGCCCCTGAGGACATTAGACAAGGGAGTTACTCCCAGAAAGGTGACTCAGCAGTTGCCTGATGGGAAAACCAAGGAATATATTTATGGACAGAGCAGAGAGACCTTGCTATGGATCAGCAACTGCTAGTTTCCCATTTACCCCTATTTCAAAAAGATTGATTTTATGTAGTTATCCTGCACCTATCCCACCTTTATGCATATGGTGCCCATGGGGCAGACACCTTGACTTTTAGTTTCTGGGTGGCCAGAGATATCATGGTCTTTGAGCAATATGCAATAATGGGTGGGATTTTGATGGTTTCCTTTTGAGGTGGGTGTTTTCTATGTTTAGAAGAGTGTACATAGATATTTAGGTAGCCAGCAAGGCTGTCTGGATTAAAATTAAAAGTTGCTTATCAGCCCGGCCAGCATGGCTCAGTAGTTGAGCATCGACCTTTGAACCAAGAGGTCAATGTTCCATTCCCTTTTGGGCACATGCCCGGGTTGCGGGCTCAATCCCAGTGGGGGACATGCAAGAGGCAATCAATGATTCACTTTCAGCATTGATGTTTCTATCTCTCTACCTATCCCTTCTTCTCTGAAATCAATAAAAATATATTTATTTTTTAAAAGTTGCCTAAGAAACGTTACCTCTTCCCACCTTCCTTAATTAAACATTTGTTTGTTTTGGTTAATCATCACCCAAGGATAGTTTTTCATTGATGTTTAGGGAGAGAGGGAAAGACAGATGGAAACATCGATGTGAGAGAAAAACATCAATTGGTTGCCTCTTGCAGGAGCCCTGACCAGGGCCCAGGCCATGAAGGAGCCTGCAACCGAGGGTCCTGCCCTTGACTGGAATTGAACCCAGGACCCTTTGGTCTACAGGCTGACACTCTATCCACTGAGCCAAACCAGCTAGGACAAGTATCCTAACATTTAGCTGGTCACATTGCCACAAAGATGTCTCAGTTTCCCTAGCAGCTAGATGGCCATGTAACTCAGTTTGGGCCAATGAAATGTAAGTTCAAATGTTGTGTGGTTCTCCAGGAAAACTGCTTCAAGGGAGCTGAGAAAGTTCCTCAAGTGGCAAAAGATCTTTTCTTGCCCTTCCCACCTGCCTCCAGAAGCAATTTTGGATGGTAAGGATGAATCAGCTTGAGGATAAAAGCAATGTACTGAGGATAGTAGAGCAGAAAGATAGGAACCTGGACACCACATGCCTACAGATTTATACAAAAAGGGAAAACTCCTATTTAGTTTAAACCACTGTTATCTTTGGTTTTTGGTTATATATAGCAAATCTGATCTGAAATAGATAGAGTATAAAGCAAAAGTATGAATGAAAAATGACCTCAAGTAGTAGCAAAAACTCTTCAGTAGAAGAATTTCTAGCAGTTAAGGGTTCTGAAAGTAGAAAGAAGTTACCAAGAAACAGGGAATACATGGTCTTCTCAAGAGAAGAACTGTGAGTATCAAAGAGACTTTTATTGTGAGGGGATGATAAGCACCCATAGAAGAATATCTATCTTCATGAGTAAGTGAGAGCAATTTATTTAAAAAGTAACAAACAGAGCTTTCTCACTTATATGGTTACTGAGATTTTCATTAAATTATGGCCTAAGGCTACTTGATTAAATCAGTAAAGAAGAACAAAGAAAAAAGAGGGGAGGTATGAAAGTGAGAGCAGATATTGAGGTTTACTTCCTAGTTCTGGTGGACTTCCATCTTTAAATATCGGTGTCAAAAAAAAAAGTGTTCTTATTTAAAAAGTATCTTCCTTTATTCCATTTATGTCTTAAAATATTTGAGTAGAGAAAAGGGAAGGGAAGTAAAAAGATGACACAGATGTTGATTTTTCAGTTTTCCTCCAAGTTCTGGTGGACTTCAGACTTCAAATGACTGTTCAAAGAAAAAATATATACTCTCATTTTAAAGGAATCTCCTTTCATACGTAATATTTATTTTTAAAATCACTTATATAATCATAGATTACAATTAAAAGCATATGTTTGACACAGATGAAATTCAGGATCTCAGAAACACACACAGTGGAACATTTATTATACTTCGAAAAGATACTATGGCCGATGCTGAAAACCTAAGTGAAATCTGGGTGTTTGACCTCTTGTCTTCACATTTTGGGCAATGATGCAGCATGCTGTCTTTTGGGGGAGGGGGGGTATTTGTATAGAGAATAAGGGCCTGCTACATAAATCTTCCATATAAGATGGATCAGACAAGCCAAGGTCTGCGCATCAATACTGCACAACCTTTAGTTCAGAACAGCTTAGAAAACTGAAAGATACATTTGAAAAGACCACGAACCCACATTGGGTTACCATAGCAGAACTTACTTCAGCTACTCTACTTGTTGGATCAGTAATAAAGACTTGGTTCAAGAACCAGCACAGCAGCCCTAGCTGGTTTGGTTCAGCGGATAGAGCATTGGACTGCGGACTGAAGGGTCCCAGGTTCGACTCTGGTCAAAGGCACATGCCCAGATTGCGGGCTCATCTCCAGTGCAGGGTGAGCAGGAGGCAGCCTATCTATGATTTTCTCCCATCATTGATGTTTCTATCACTCCCTCTCCCTTCCTCTCTGAAATCAATGAAATATATTTGGAAAAAACAAAACAAAACAGCAGAGCAAAAAGGAAGAAGCAGTAGCTACAAATTTGCTAAGTCTGGCACTAGAATCACAGAACCAAATAATTTCAGTGAAGGAGGCAGAAACCCCCTTACCCATTAGTTCACAAACACCATGAGTACCAGCATTGTGAATGCCTGTGACCAAAAACCACCTAAGACTTCTGGTATCGAGCACTCTGGTGGGGCTGATTCTGTGTTTCTCTGGCAGCGGTACAAGCGCTGGGACCTCCTAGTCCACAATCTTGCTTACATCATACTCTTAAATGTTTAAACCAGCGGTTCTCAACCTGTGGGTTGTGACCCCTTTGGGGGTAGAATGACCCTTTCACAGGGGTCGCCTAAGACCATCGGAAAACACATATATAATTACATATTGTTTTTGTGATTAATCACTATGCTTTAATTATGTTCAATTTGTAACAATGAAAATACATCCTGCATATCAGATATTTACATTACGATTCATAACAGTAGCAAAATTACAGTTATGAAGCAGCAACGAAAATAATTTTATGGTTGGGGGTCACCACAACATGAGGAACTGTATTAAAGGGTCGCGGCATTAGGAAGGTTGAGAACCATTGGTTTCAACAGACCAGTTATTTATCTTTTTCTTTTTTTTTTTTAATATATTTTATTGATTTTTGACAGAGAGGAAGGGAGAGAGATAGAGAGTTAGAAACATCGATCAGTTGCCTCCTGCACATCTCCTACTGGGGATGTGCCCGCAACCCAGGTACATGCCCTTGACCGGAATCGAACCTGGGACCTTTCAGTCCGAAGGCCGACGCCCTATCCACTGAGCCAAACCGGTTTCGGCATCTTTTTCTATAAGAAGAAATCCCTCTACCTTTTATCATTGCCTGAAAGGTCTAGTCTCTTAGTCTCCTGAGTCAAGGACAGTCATCGGTGCCTCTGGAGGAAGCAGAAGCCAACTAGTTTTCCTTGGTCCTAGCCTGTCCCAATTTAGCTGAGCACCATGAGAGCTCTCCAACTAAAGTCAATACGATATCAAATTCCTGTCCCAAAAGGACCATCTTTATTTCTTACACACACACACACACACACACACACACAACAAAACAAACAAACAAAATCAAAAAACGAAAAACAAACATTTAAGAGCATGATGTCAGCAAGACTGGTGGACTAGGAGGCCCCAGCACTTGTACCGCCGCCAGGAAAAACAATGATTAACTACTGCTTACTGATGAAAATAGCTCCGAGAGAGCTATGAAGTACATGCAGGAGGTACAGCAGCCCAGTGGAGCACAGAAATGAAAGATGGCCACATAGAAAAGCACAGGCAGCATTTGACCTTTGTCAACCCATCCCCCAGTCCCGCAGAGCTTGCTGCCAAAAGGGATGGGATGCCCTCAGCTGTGACCTCTCCCCTTTGGAGGAAAAGGAGAAGACCCCAGCAGCTTTCATCACCAAGGCCCCAAGCAGCCCTTGTGGCTGTCAGGGACACCTAAGCATTTTTTTAAATATATTTTTATTGATTCCGGCGAGGAAGGGAAAGGGAGAGAGAGATAAAAAACATCGATGAGAGAGTATCATTGATCAGCTGCCTCCTGCACAGGCCACACCAGAGATGAGCTCGCAACCCTGGCATGTGCCCTTGACCAGCATCAAACCCGGGACCTTTCAGTCCACAGGCCAAAGCTGTATCTGCTGAGCCAAACCCAACACCTAAACCTTCTGCCACCAAGGACTCCCTCAGTCGTTGCCTATGCTAATGTTCTGATGGAGCTGCCCAGAATCCATGCTACTCAGCCCCCCAAAGAAGGAGCCAATGCTGGGACCCCAACCACAGTGGGCCTGGCCCAGCATATGAACACCCACACCTTCGATGGTTAGACGTAAATAAAATGGACAACGATGGGGATTGAACAAAGGTTTAATACAGTGCTACCCAAGGTGGTGCATGCCAAAAGAACCCCCTATTGACTCCCCAGGATTAAAGAGCCCCAAACAAGTCTGCTTTATTTATCCTGGTTTGGAACATTTTGAAAGCCAAGATTCAAAGATTATAATGAGAAATCTGACTTGCAATTGCTTCGAGCAATGGTTAAGGAGATGAATCAAGCTGAAGGCTGACATAGCCCATGGACACAGCAATAGGGTAGTGAAGACCTCAAGGGGTGGGCAGGGGCTGGGAGGAAGAGGGGAAGGCGGGAAATGGGAGATATCTGTAATACTATCAACAATAAAAACTATTTTTTTTTTAAAAAAAGATGAAAGCTGACAAAAGGGCCCGTCAGAGTAGCTGGCGGCAGTGGCGGCTCTCGGAGCTGGGTTGTCAGTCAGTGAGCAGAGGGGGAAGATGGCTCGTCGGGACCCGTTTTGCTAGGAAGAAGGGAGGCAGGTGCTGCTACTGCCCAGGAAAAGGAAGAGACGACCCCTTCGCTGTCGCTTCGAACCAGAAGAGTGAAGTTCTGGGAGTGGAGGTCTGGGAGCCGCTCTGATTGAAGATTTAGAACAGATGTGGAAAGATGTTCACTTCAGAGAAAGGGGTTGTGGAGGAATGGTTGTCAGAGTTTAAGACACGACCAGAAGCATCTTTACCAAATTATGCCACAAATTTGAAAGATAAGAGTTCTTTAGTTTCATCTCTTTATAAAGTTATCCAGGAGCCACAAAGTGAGTTGCTAGAACCTGTCTGTCACCAGCTCTTTGAATTCTATCGCAGTGGAGAGGAGCAGTTACTTCGATTTACACTGCCGTTTCTTCCAGAACTGATTTGGTGCTACCTTGCCGTCTCAGCCAGCAGAAATGTGCACAGCAGAGGATGCATTGAAGCTCTTTTTCTAGGGGTTTACAATTTGGAAATAGTTGACAAACAGGGACATAGCAAAGTATTGAGTTTTACGATTCCATCTTTATCCAAGCCATCTGTATATCATGAACCTTCCAGCATTGGGTCCATGGCTCTGACTGAGAGTGCACTATCCCAGCATGGTTTGTCAAAAGTTGTATACAGTGGACCTCACCCCCAAAGGGAGATGCTGACAGCCCAGAACAGGTTTGAAGTGTTGACATTCCTTTTGTTGTGTTACAATGCTGCCTTAACCTATATGCCCAGTGTTTCTCTTCAATCATTGTGTCAGATTTGTTCAAGAATCTGTGTTTGTGGATATCCCAGACATGTAAGAAAATACAAAGGTGTAAGTAGCAGGATAACAGTTTCTTCAGAATTCATGGTGCAGATGTTAACAGGGATTTATTTTGCTTTTTATAATGGAGAATGGGATCTAGCTGAAAAAGCATTGGATGATATTATTTACAGAGCCCAGTTAGAATTATATCCAGAGCCATTGCTGGTTGCTAATGCAATAAAGGCTTCGTTGCCTCATGGTGCCATGAAATCTAGTAAGGAGGGTACAAGGTGTATTCAAGTTGAAATCACACCAACTTCCTCTAGAATATCAAGAAATGCAGTAACCAGCATGTCAATAAGCGGTCACCGGTGGAAAAGACATGAGCAACCTGACGGCAATAATGATGATACTGAATTGGGCATCCTCGTCATTCCTGAGATTAGTGTCACAAATGTGGCCGGAGAGAGAACCGGGAATGGGGAAAAAGGCAGAACACTAGGAGAGATTGATGCTCAGCATATACAGGGTGTGCAGGAAACAGCCACAGATCCTAGAACTGAAAGCAAAGGCTTGCCAGAGATCAGGAGGCAAAAATCTGTAAGAAAACTGATGGAGGATGGAATAAACTCACCTGGCAGAGTGCAGTTTTAGCACAGCACTTTATAGCTGCACTCCAAGGAAATACAGAATTAACAGATCAAGAAGAACTGATGGATATGTCTGAAGTTGACAAGGGATTTTATTCCAGGGCTGCATCTAGTACCAGCCAGTCAGGCTTATTAAACACTTGGAGTGCGGGAAACGAGTTAAGTCGGCTCGCGTGAATTGCGCGTACTCCGCGGGAGCCGTCTTTAACTCGGTTCATATAGATTTGCGGTGGAGTGCGGGAAACGTGTAAACTCGGGCCGATTGTAACTGCGTATTACCAAATATTTGTTTGTAATCCACCCTTTTGGTGGATGGAACAAAACCAAAAGACAGAGCCATCTTATATTTTGGCGGGAAATTCACCCGCACTCCAAGTGTAAACAATAGTCACAATTCTAGTATCAAGACAAGTGTAGGAAAGACTCAGAGAAGGTCAGGAGGAAACAAAACTGGAGGAAAAGAAAAAGAAACCACAGGGGAGTCATGCAAAGATCACTTTGCTCGAAAACAAACTCAGAGAGCCCAAAGTGAAAATCTAGAGCTTCTCTCTTTGAAGAGACTTACGTTAACAACCAGCCAGTCCCTGCCTAAACCTAACAGCCATGGTTTGGCTAAGACTGCTGCGACTGTATTTAGTAAATCCTTTGAGCAAGTCAGTGGTGTCACAGTCTCACATAACCCATCAGCTGTTGTTGGCTGTGGGACAGGGACAGATGCCAACAGGTTTTCCGCTTGTAGTCTCCAAGAAGAAAAGCTTATTTACGTTTCTGAAAGGACTGAACTTCCAATGAAGCACCAATCAGGTCAGCAGAGACCTCCTAGTAGTAGCATTACATTGTCCACAGATTAATTTGTAAGAGTTTTCTCATGTGACCAATGAGTCTGGAATTATGGCTTTGCTTCTTTATGAAAGTGCCAGGGTCTTTCATCCCTGCTCCTGACAGAGCCCCAATGTCTTAAGTTCTGAAGGCTTTATGAAGGGAATAATGTCTAGGTTGCAGTAAAGTTGAAATATGGTTTTGTTATTTCTTGGCTGTGTGTTTTTTTTCTCCTGTTTGTTTCTGTTGCCCTAAGATTGTCACTATGACAATACATTTTGGCAGGTGGTCTGATCAGATTGGTTACGTCTCATGTGAGGATGTGAGTTGTTTTCCCCCCTAATAACTCCTATTTTGGTAGATGTAAGTTTGGCCTTCAGAACAAAAGGAAATCTCCATGCATGGGAACTTTTTTTAAAGGATGAAACAGAGGTGCAACTCCGGGAATTCTACATCTGGTTGTTCAGCAAGTCAGTTTGGAAAAACGAGCATGTGAAAAAACAAAAATGATGTGAAAAGTGCCTGATAAGAATGTTAAAAAGTAAAAAAAAAAAAAGAAAGAAAGCTGACAAAAGGACCAGAGGGTCCCTTGACTCAACCACTCATTGGGGATTCAAAGTCTTTACACCAGAGTGGGTAAAACGGTCAGGAGGTAGAGAAGAGAAATTTCTGGACTCACTGACCTGGGAGCTCCACAAACTGTGGTACCAAAATCCACTGGAGAAGCGCTGGTGTGGACAACAATTAGATTGAGAGAACATGAAGGTTGTTCTCCCAAGGGAAGGATCGATGGGATGATGAGCCTCGGAATGTTTAGACAGGCTTATGCAAATAACTTGTGTCATCTTACCTGAATGTCTTATGGGCATGGATACTCTGGCTGGGCAATGCTTACCCTACCACATGTTGTAAAACCAAAACTGTGTCAGAATGGAGGCTACAGTTAAGAAAAAAATTAAAATTAAAAACATGTTCTCTGATAATATCAATAAATGATTAGAAAGAATGATAAATAATGTTCAAATAAATCACTTCACCATAAATATGCCTATCAAATTATATAGCTTTTGAAATATACAGATGCATAAAAACTTCATAGGCCTTCTGAAATGTAAGGTGCTGTAGTTACACAAATATATAGAAAATAGCAAAGATAGTAATAATTTGAAATCATACTTGCAATAAATGTGGATTTCAATTTATTTCCTTAATCAAACAAATAAGCAAACAAAATTATAAACATGGCTTGAACTTCGATTCTCCACCAGGTGCTAATGGAGAAATTTCTTGTTGTAATTTTTTTTGTTCCATCTGCTGTATGACCTGGGGAATGAAAAATAATGTTTTAAAAGGAAGTAGTTCTTGATTTTCTCTGATATGTGTGACCTTTAACAAATCACAACTAACTGAAAATTATTTTCCAAAATGAAACAGTCAAATTCTAAAATTTAGATTAATATTCAACAAAGCAGTTTTTAAAACACCAACATTTAAAATACTATAGCTAATAGTGCATTGAAACATTATTATAACACAGGCTTTTAGCAAAGGGCCTAAAATCCTTTTTAATGTCACAATCCTTTCACAAAATACCACCTGATGATATTCCAGCTTCTGAGCCTCTAGTTGTCATGCTGACGCTGTAGTTCTTCTTTTTGTTTCTGAAGTCCACCTGCTTTTTTCTTAAGTTCATTTTCTTGTAAGGAGATAAGATTTTCATATTCTTTCGGTTCTTCCTCTGTGAAAAACTGTTGCTGATCTAATGTCTAAAGTAAAAAAACGAAGAAAGAATAATCTTAGAAATGCAACCATAAGGTCTGATTCAGCTGTCAAATTGTGTAATTAGCAAAGTACAATAGAGTATAGTATTATACCTTTGGGATAAAAAAAGAAAAAGAATTAAGAAAAAATATATTTATGTACTCTGAATAAAAGGAACACCCAAAGACTAATAAGATTGTTTACCTACAGAACGAGAGAGAAACTGAGGGGAAAAGACGAAGGGAGTGAAGGCAAGGAAATCATACTCCTCTGAATACACATTTGGTACAGAATTGCTTTTCTGAAACATTCAATGTGTTACACACTCAAAAAACACACACAAATAACTAAAATCCACAAGGACAGAAAAATCCCGCAAATTGAATAGAAACAGAAACAAATAAATAATACTTTTATTTTAACTGAATAAAATAACTGACAGAAGGGAGAAGGGTAAAAAAGAACTAACCCAAGAAACTTCTGAACACAGTATCTGGACTACATGCACTCAAGTTAAAAACAACCCAAAACTCTAAACAAGTCTTAGTCTTGTTTTGCAGAGGCATGGATTAGCAATTCTAAAATGCTTTGAATATGCTAGGACTGAGCAAATAAGTGGAAAATTGTTGTGGAACAGAAACAAATAATACAACTGGGAGCCAGGTTTTGTATGAAATACAGAAAAAGAAAAAGATAAAATGTATTGGAATTGAAGGTGTTATATTAAAATTTAAGAGGATAGTGAACTCATGAGTTGTAATATATTTGACAGTGAAATATACACAATGAATATAAATGTGTGTAGTGTCTATATATGTGTGTGCAAGTATGTGTGTATATATGTATATATTCATAATATAAGTAAATAAATATGTATTTAAAAATTTTTAAAAATTCCCAGCTCTATTATCCAACCAGGATTTGCTTTAAAGCAAGGACAATTCCGTAGAAAGAAAGTCCTCAGAGAATGATGGGAACATACCAGAAGGCCACAAAAACCTGTTTGAGGAAACTCCCACTATCCAAGTATGGAAATAAATACAGGCAGTCCTTGGATTACGTCAGACTCGACGTACGTCATTTTGTGGTTACGTCACCATCTCCCATTCATTTATGAAGAAAAAAAAAAGTTCCGCCATTTCGACGTATGTACATATGTGCTTTATGTTTTTTATTACTTATTTACCACAAGTAAAGGTCAGGAATTGATGTCTTTCTTTTAAATTTTTTTTACTGTTTCACTTCATTACTGCTGTGTATGTGCTCCATGTAGTGACGTAGGTGCTTATGTAGGTGGATTAGGACTTATGGTGAAAGTCTCGTTACATCGCGCCGTAGGCATGGATCTCCGACATAACATGAGGACCTACTGTAATAGGAAGGATGCAGGCTTACTGAATGAAACAGGAATCCATGAGTATACAGTGAACAGGTAGAGAAGAGGAAAGGGTAGCTTTTCCTTACAATACAAAGGCAAAAAATAAATGATTAGAAAATCACCATTTGTCAACAGTCAAGTAACAACTGATGCTGACCAGAATCAGCAGAGGATGGAACTTGTAGATAAGTCTCAAAGTATATCCTTAAAAATACATTTTTAAAAACAAAAAACAGCCGGAACCGGTTTGGCTCAGTGGATGGAGCGTCGGCCTGCGGACTGTGGGGTCCCAGGTTCGATTCCGGTCAAGGGCATGTGCCTGGGTTGCGGGCACATCCCCGGTGGGAGATGTGCAGGAGGCAGCTGATCGATGTCTCTCTCATCGATGTTTCTAACTCTCTATCTCTCTCCCTTCCTCTCTGTAAAAAATCAATAAAATATATTTTAAAAAAAATAAAAATAAAAAAAATAAAAACAAAAAACAGATCACTCATTTTTTATTAGTGGAAATGTAAATTAGTGCAATTGTTTCAATATTCTTTACAAAGTATATCAATAGTTTTAAACATATTCTCTTGACCCTGATAATGCTACACTGGACAATCTACTTTATAAAATAGCCCTAAACACATTAAAAGCTGTATATGAAAATGTGTTGAAAGTAGCACTTTTTAAAATAACAATAAAAGACTGAAGATAACCTGAATGTCTAATCCTGAGAAAATAATTAAGCACTCATAGGTATGAAAATAATGCTTACAAATTGTATTTGGAAAGACTTATGATGTAGAATGATGTGGTTTTTTTTTTAAGCTGACTTAAGATTCTGGCAATATCATGGGTTTTAGAAGACTTTTTTTAGATTATAAAAGGTAAAGTTGTAGCCGAACCCGTTTGGCTCAGTGGATAGAGCGTCGGCCTGCGGACTCAAGGGTCCCAGGTTCGATTCCGGTCAAGGGCATGTACCTTGGTTGCGGGCACATCCCCACTTGGGGGGCGTGCAGGAGGCAGCTGGTCGATCTCTCTCATCGATGTTTCTAACTCTCTATCCCTCTCCCTTCTTCTCTGTAAAAAATCAATAAAATATTTTTAAAAAAAAGGTAAAGTTGTAACTTTACAGTGAAAACACCTGGTAGACTTCACCTTAACTAAATAATCTAAGTTAATATTGCCAGTTAAGGGAATAATCAGGACTAATAATGCCTCCTGATACTATGTCCTTAGTATCACTTCAGCTATATTCCTATCAAAAGTAGGAATCATAAGGGAACAGTCCCTCAAACTGATGGGTGGTCTACAAAATTGCTGGTCTATACTCTTTTGAAATATCAATGCCATGAGACACAATGACTCAGGAACTATTTCAGATTAACAGAGACTAGAAAGACATTACAACTAAATTCACTGCATTTTCTTGGGTTTTCTTTTGCTATAAAAGTCACTATTGGGAAAATTGACAAAAATCTCAATCAAGTCTACCTGATTAGAGGGGAAGGGAACCTTTTTGCTGCCAAGGGTCATTTGGATATTTATAACATCATTCTCAGGCCATACAAATTTTCAACTTAAAAATTAGCCTGCTGGAGAAACCAAGATGGCGGCATAGGTAAACACCTGAAATTGCTGCTTCCACAACCACTTCAAAAATACAACTAAAAGACAAAATGGACATCATCCAGAACCACAGGAAGGCTGGCTGAGTGGAAATCCTACAACTAGAAGGAAAGAGAAAAGCACACTGAGACTCAGAGGAGCTGCGGAAGTAAAGTGCAGAGGTACGGAGGCGCATGCGGAAAGGGCTGGCAACTGAGGATGCAGTTGTCTTTTTCAATCGGGAGGGAGACACAAGCTCCTGATGGCCCTGAACTCCAGTTCCAGGCGAGTCTCTGGGGACCCAGACTCATATGGGGAGAAACTGGACTGTCTGGCAGCAGGCAGAACTCTATGAGGCTTTCTCTCAGAGGTGCTTGCAGCGATTACCGCAAAACACTGAGACCCAGGACCGCTTAGGGCAGGTCTGAGGATCAGTCATAGATGTTTGCTCTGCCCTGTTGATTCCCTGAGACCCCGC